TGCTTGAAACTTTTTGGTCTTTCACTGACCGGTGCCTCTGAAGTCTGTCTACTTTTATTTCCTAAATACCGAATCATTGTATTCTTTACTTGCTTCTTACTTAATGTTAAATTGCTTTGTCTACACTTTTCTAGTGTGCATGTGGATCTCCACTCTCTCTTGAGTAGTCCTTTCAAAGAATGATTAGAATTACATTGTTTGAAATTACTTTTTGCCAGTCTCCTCTCAAAATCCATTCTGTATATTGACTGTGCCAAAAAGTAATTTGGCACTATGTAATAAATTACTCTTTAATTTGCATCATCGTCATCATACATGGTGGTCAAGTGATATTTATGAAGGTTGTAAAATTGAAACAGAAATGGAACAGTTTCCCCCTATTAAAATGAGTAGTATGGTGCTTTCCAGTTCGTGTTTTCTCTTACGCCTCATACTCAGAGGTTGAATGTTTGTCAGTCACCCACTTAGTGGTGGATATAGCATGCCTACGTTCAAAGAGATGCCTGACTGAAAGGACTTTTTGCCACTTGAACAAAGTCAAATTGAAATGTAAGTGTCAGTTACATAAAACATAAAATGTAATTAATGAATACGAACTTTCAAATCATAACCTTTGTTTTAAGTCTTTGCTGTCTTACAAGCTTGTGAGATGCACTTCTACTGTTATGTGGGGTTTGGGTTTTTTTTCATCAGATTCTGCTGAAGCAAAATTCAAGTCAGACTGCTTTTCCTCATTCATTTCCTCATTCCTTCCAGATTATTTTGTCATTTTGACTTTTCCTACTTCAGGTGATTTCTTCTTTTACCAATCATTTAGTTAACTGCTATTTTATTCTACACCACATTGTCTAATATTCGTAGTCCAAACATAAAAAGTAGTAGAAAGTGTACAGAAAAGCTTTAAACAGTGCTGTGAAATAGCCACAAGAACTATTGAGGAGAAGAAGCTTAACTGATAGTTTGAGCATGTAACTGCTCAAGTATTGCTCACTTCTGCAAATGAGCAGAGCTTGAAGGTGGTAAATATTTTCTTCTTAGTGGCACAAGTAACTCACAAAAATAAGACACTCACAGTCATTCCTTTCTTTAGGATAAGAGAAACTTTATAGTGTTTATAGGTCTGAGTTATGGAATAAATAGCTGGTGTGCACAGATAGTCTCTTGTCTGTGTTGAAATTGAGTAGGCCATAATTTTGAAGGTCTAGGAAAGGCTAAACTGGATATTCAGAATACCTAAACACATAATAGTAGACAGAGCACCAGGACAGCTCCCTTGGAGAGGTGTCAGAGGTTTTTCAGACTGTGTCATTAAGCACAAACTGGAAAAACAAAGCTGAGGCAAGAGACAGATGAAGCTGACCCTGTCTTAAAACAGTAGGACATTAAGCTGCTTTTTGATATACATTTAAATCTGAGAATTATTTAAATTGTGGACAACTATAGATTTACCTTCTGTCTTCCATCACACTGTTGTGGACTCAGGCACACAATCTTACTTTAAGTGTGTTACTAGACTTGGAAACAAGTGTGTGTTCTGCAGGAGATTTCTGTCTTTGCGAATGGAGTTTGTTGTAGAAGAGGCACAGATGGCAGAGTCCAGAGCTGTTTTCTGTCAGTGTTCAGATTAATCTTTGGCTTCAGGCAATACAAATTATTGAATAATGAAGTTCCTCTTTGTAAATATTCTAAGTGGTGGCTGATTTGGTTTAAGTGCATCTAGCCTCTACTCGGTTTGTCCTGAAAGCAAAAAGTTTAGACATTGAGGAGGGGTGAAAAGCTGCACAGGAGAACTTTGAATTATACTGGCCAGGTATCTCTAATTTTGAGTAAAATTTGGGTATGCTGCTCTTTCTCCATTTGATATCCATAATCAGATGGGACTTCTCTCTGGCTTGTAAAGCCGCAGTGGTACTAGTGTAAGTTTGGACTGAAGTTCTGTACATCAGTGAAACAGATGAGAACTTAGAAGCTCAGTTCTTCTGTAACCCAGCTGGCACTTTCCCACCAAGTGAGAAATACCACTGGCTGTCAGACATACTTTGCAATAATTGGGATATCTGATGGGTCATTTGAAATAGCTGCTTCTGCTGCATTTTATGAAATGCTTATCTGGATTTTCTGAAACTCAGCCATGTGCATATGAACTGGCAAACCGCTTAAACAAGCATCTTCCCTTAACACAAGCAGGAAGACTTAAGAGTGGTCCCTCAAGCATCTGATTCCAGACATGAGGTTCAATTTCCAGTTATTTGTATTGCTTGTTAAGAGCCAAGATTCATCTTTCTTATGTGCTTCTGTGAAGAAAGTGATTTTTGACTCTGAATTATTGATAATGTGTAATCGAACCACTAATCTTCAGGCAAAATTTCAATCTCTTTAAGAAGTCTTACCTTTTCTTAACCTTTTCAAATATATAAGGCCTTTGGAATGTCAGATCTGAACACCTTTGAATTTTAGATGATAGCCCAAATTAAACAAAACTGAATTAAATAAAAGAAATCATTCACAGAATCATTGAGGGTGGAAGGGACTTCTGGACATAATTTAGTCAAATCCCCTTCCTCAAGCAGGTTCTCCCTGAGCAGGTTGCCCAGGACCATGTCCAATCAGACTTTGAGTATCTCCAGGAATGGAAACTTCACAACTCCTCTGGGTGGCCTGCTTCAGTGTTTCACCACCCTCACAGTGAAAGCTTTTTTTAATTGCAGAATTGCAGAATAAACCTGCAGAAATGAATTCAAGCTTGGCCTGAATGAATTACTGGATTTTGCTTGTGTAGCTTCCTAGGTTAGTCTATTAGTATTCATCAAGCTTAACTAATAGAATGTCTCCAGAAGAACTGGTCATGAATTACATCCTTTGTAACAGCTGCATATGGTCTTTGCCTTCAGTGGTCTGGGTGTTTTTAATGTGAAAAGTAGATCACATGAACAGAGGGGTAGTAGAAATAATTTCTGCACGTCTTTTTCTGTTCACTCTGGAATTAGTAAGTAGTGTATGGGGAACGTCTTACATGAAATAGCTTTCTCTTAGAGATTTTAACTTCTTTTAAGGTTGTGGTTTAAATGAGTTCCTTCCTAGGAGATTAATAATAGAACCAAAAACTAAAAATCAGCATTTCTCTGTTAGGAGGTAAGACTAAAATAAAAACTGTGCACAAAAAGAGACATTCCTTTAAGTTGCTCTTTTTTGGAGACACTGCTGGGAAGAGTTCTGCAGACAGTGGGAGTGATGGAGGTGACAGGTATAGAAATTGCTCTACTGTAATCAGACTAATAAGGAAAAAAGCACTTCAAGGGTAAGGAACTTAGCTATATCTAGGTAGAGCTGTAAATGAATACAGAAATGCTTCTGCATATTTCCATATTGTTCGTTACAGAAACAGAATTGCTGAGGTTGGAGGTGCCTTGAGATCATGTAATCCAACCTCCTGCTGAGAGCAGAGTTATCTAGAGCAGGTTGCTCATGACTTTGTCAGTTGGGTTTTGGATGTTTTTTGTTAATAACTTTGCATATATAACCTGTTCATGACTTCATCTAGCCGATTTATTTGTGTTTGTGTGTGCTGTTTTGGGGAGGAGATAGGGAAGAATGGGGGTAGCTTGGGGGGGGGTGGGATGGTGGTAGTGTCTTCTAGCTTTTGGTGCTATGGTAGACTAATTTGTACAAAATTATGAATGCCAGCAGTGGTGGGCTTGTTACTAAACCCTCTCATGTCTTATTTAATCAATTACAAACTTCCCATCAATTTTTCTGCTTTATTTACTGTTTAATACTTGCCATATAGATACCATACAAGAACTTAATACAGCATAGGTTCTTTTCTGTCTTCCCTGGCAATAAATGAATTTGCAATTTGTACTTTGTGTAATATTGTTTATCCTTTTGTATATCCTTTATATTGTTGTATCTCCAAGCTAATCTTTCAAACTAGCATTTTGTGAATTAGATATATTGGATGCTTCACTTTGGCTTGTTGATTGGTTTTTGGACCTTGCTTCAGTTCCTTTAAAAAAAAAAAAAGATACGGAGTGTGGGAGTGGTGTTTCTGAAAAGCTCTGTGCTAATGAAGGATAGTATTCTTACTAAGTGGTATCCTTTTACTATGTTAAATTTTTCTACCTATTTGCATTCTTAGACACTAAAAATATTTTTAAAGGGGAATGCTGAAGGCAGCTAGTTAAGGATGGTATACTTTAGGTTTTGAAGTTGTCAGGAGATGACTACTGCTAAACTTGTAAGTGTTTAATAAGAAGTGCTTAGACAGAATACACTGTTAGAAATCAGCTGTGGTTCGGTGATTAAGAGCTAATTAAAAATGTTTTATGTCCATCTATCATCTGTATTAGAAATGTTAAAAGAACCTGAAAATGTTGCATCTCTGTTGGATGATATATAGCTCATGAGCAGGTATTTGTACCAGTTACTTTGTATATAGGAACAAATCTTTAAACTCGCTGTTAGTGAGAGGCTCTATTTAGTGTGTGAATAACATCTGTAGAAATGTTCAGCTTCAAATTTGGCTCAAATTCTGATATTGAGGTATATTTGAAACACTCATTTTCAAGCACTGGTCAAGAATTCTGCCACTATACTTTCTATGTTCAATTATAAAGTTCAAAAGTGAATGAGTAGTGGATTTTTGATGTCATCTTAACCTTGAAGCTGCTGCATTTCCTCTAGTCTCTAACAGATCATAACAAACCCCTGAACCTATTTTGCATAGCAATTTTCAAGTCTTTTCATTAAACTGACTGTAGCCATTTCTGCATTGAACTGAGGGTAGTCCATGGGAAGAGAGGAAGCTAGTTAAAAAACACTAATCATACTGGAAAAATTAGGTGGTGTGAGCCTTTGAAAATTTGTTGTCTGAGGCAGATACTGTTCTTTAATATAAGCAATTTTTGCTCAGTGTGTCTATATAGGTTTTACACAAAGTTAGTTGTCCATTGCATAGCACTGCAGTACTAATGATCTCTCTTCCTTCTCTTTTTAATCAGGACAGAGCTTGGGTTATGGTTTTGTGAACTACGTTGACCCCAAGGATGCCGAAAAAGCTATCAACACTCTGAATGGATTGAGACTTCAAACTAAAACCATAAAAGTATGTAGTGTTAATTATGATTTAAAGAAACTGAAGTGTTTTGACTTCCTGTTAATCAGATGCATAATTTGTTTTCCCTTTCCAAGTGTAACTTAAGCATTCTGCTAATGTCAGTAGAATAGACTAGGACTTCACCATGTAGCAGATGGTTAGTCCTTTGTAGTCTGTTTAGATCTAGAGAGGTAGATTATGATTAAATATAGAAAATGGTGACTTTTTTTATGTACTTGATAACATTTTAGATGTGAGCTTGAATTGTTTTAACAAGAAATTGTGTTGTATGCTTTAGTTGCAGAAATGCAATATTGTATATAGTCTGAACACTGCACTATGTGCTTCCTCCTTACTTTCTCAAGGAAGATGGTATAACTTGCTTATTAATATTCCTTTTTTTAGGTTACCAGTGTCTTGTTTCTCTTACAAATCCTTAAAATTAAATGCTGAAACAACTATTTTGGTTATTTGTGAATCACTGGACTCCTAGGGCTCTAGTCTCTAGGTCTTTAATGTTTGGGATTCCTGGGTTTTCGTTTGTTGTAACTCCTGCATCTCTTGTTTACTAAATTCAGTTTCTTGAATTTCTAGAAGCAGAAATCTTCAGAGTTACTTTTTCTCATTTACTGTTGTATTCCATTATCAGAAGAGTGAGGATATTAATTTCAGCAGTTGTTTGGACTCTGAAATCTTGAAAGAGAGGAAATGAAATAAAATTTATCAGGGTATGCAGATTTTTGAACACGTTTCCCAGGTGTTGGTCCCTGAAGACAATCCATGTTCCAACCAGCCCATTCTTCCTCATTAAACAGCAGGGTTTGCTAATTGACTGCTTAGATAGTGACTGCTCTCTAACTAGGATCTTGTTTGAGCCATAAGATAAAGCTTACCTCTAAAAAGGTTTGAACTTAAAAAGCAATGCAGAGCCACTTAAAGATGACTGAGACAAAAATAAGATGGCAATAATTATGACTAGAATGCCCTACCTATTCTGGATTCATAAGATTTGATGAAGTGGATTGCACTACTTGAAACTTAAAAATACTGCTGTTTAACAAATGGTGAATCATGGCTCACAATAACAACAGATGAAAGACTGGATAGATGCTTTGCTGCAGGAAGGTCCCTATGTGCTTCTGGCAGACTTCTAGCCCACAAGCAGTCTCTCCCATTTTTTTACTTTGGGGAAGATTGAGGAAAGTCATTTCGTGCTCCAGGTTTTTTGAAGCTGTCTTTTGGGTGGTGGTGAGAAAGAGAATGGGTTTGTGTTCCAGCAGTATTGCAGGTACACTGTATCTTTGCGTGTAATGTCTTGGATTGGACAAGTAAAAAATGCATGTGTCCAGGGTGATAAGTTGGAAGTTCTGGTGACTGTATAGCCAGGCAAAAAAGGATGTTGTTATAGAGAATCAAGCCAGGTCTCCGAAATCAAAATGACAAGGGGGTATTCAGTGATTTAGTTTATGCTGCCAGTATATGAATTCTTAATCCTCTTTCACCTTGCTAAGTGATTAATGCAAACAGTCACTGTATTTCTGCAACTAAAAATTGATTGTAAAAAAGTCTCGGGGGGGAAAAAGTGAAAATGAAGAACATGGATGTGGGTGATGACACTGGTGCTTTTCCTTTCCTGCCTTCCCAGGACACAAAAGTAGACTTGTAGGTTATAAACACTACAGGTGACACTGTCTGGTATTGAGACTAAATCTTCTGTGTAAATTTTCAGGGATTTGTGCCTTAGATGTCCTTAGCTAAAGAAAATCTGAAACATTTCTGTTCTGAGAAGCCAAAATGATGACCTCTTCACCAAAATAAAAAAATCTCTGTTTAGTTAGAAAAAAAAGTATCTGTAAGTGTTGCTTGTTCATATCACGTTCTGACTCTACCCACATTCAGCTCTGTTTAACTTCAGCGTATCTTTCACTGTTAAGTGTGCATGACTTGAGGGGAAAAACTGCTTTACTCCCTTCTCCTTTACTCTTCATCCTTCTTGGACACAGGCTGCGTTTCAGGCAGTTTTCACAACTGGATTCTCCCAAGATGTTGTTTGAAGAGGCTGGTTTTACCTCCTTCCACACTGCAGAAGGAGCAGAGGTTAGGGGGATCCCTAATATGTGTTGACGCTAAGGCATTTGTACGTTGGACAGTTGCTTCTCCCGTTAAAGGAACTAAGATGGCTGTGTGGCAGACTTGAAAGGAGACTTATCAAGATACCTTTATGTATGAACCGGTAGAAATGTCTAGCCTACTGTGAAGGACTTTGTAATTCACATATTCACCAGATCAGTCTGGAGGCAATGCTGAGCAGAGGCAGCAACTGGGGTGGAGGGAGTCGTTTGAGATCTCAGTGCCAGGACCTTTGCAGAGACTACTTACAGTTTATAGACCACAGTGTTCCTATTTATTCAGAGTCGATACTTCAATTAAAAAAAATCTGTGGGCAAACTCAGAATTCAACCCTTAGATTTACTTTCAGCTTTAAAAAATGGATATAATTGAGATTTTTATATATACCTTCATATGGAAAATGATGGAATAGGATAGTGCTAGTGGATATTTTGACTTCAAAAGAAAAAAACTAGATGCTTGTTCTCTCAAACATTTCTACAGAAGTCCCAAAAGTGTACAAAGTAGTTCACTAGATTGATGGTTGGAAGTGTTTGTTTCCTGTTAGTCTGCAAAACTGTAAAGAACCTCATTGGTTATGTGATGGACCCTAACATTGTGGCTGAACTGAGAACATTCCCACTCAGAGGGAATTGTCCTGATCCTGGTGTGTGATGTTCTGGATTGGGGCCATGACACATACCTCTGATCCACTGCTTCTGTAGCAGCCTGTTAGTCATTGGATATATTTCTCTGATCTCTAAAAGGGGATGCCACCTACTGTTTTCTTGAAATAAAATATATTGAAAAGGTTGATTAGCAAAATGCTGGCTTAAGTTTTTCTGTATGGGTAATGATACTAAAACCTGTTACCTGATACCTTTTTAAAAAGAACATTCTGTGGAAGGCTTTATGGAATACCTTATTGAACTATTTGCAAAGTATCTTTGCCAAATTTCAGATCCATACCTCCAAAGCAAGTCATAGCAGTCTTAGGCTTGTCTAACCCGGTTCCAGTTGTGTTGCCTTCTGATTTGACCTGAATATTAAAACTGTGGGGTGGCTATGCATTGATGTTGAAGGCACATCTAGGTGTGTTAGATACCAGAACCCCACTCTGCTAGGTAATACACCTACACTTATTAGATGGTGCCCTCTGTGGCATAATTTATGGTTTATTTGCAATGTAAACAGGCTTATTTTTATTGCAGGTAGCCTGTGAAGTTTGAGCTTCATTTAATTATGCAACTTTTTTGTGTGAAAACTAGTATCTTAGAAAAGGTAAAACATTTTCTGTGGCTTCTCTTTTGGAAGAAGGCTGCTGCTGGGAAGCACTTTGGCTCTGTTCTGTTTAAGAGCCAGTGAAAAAGTGCATTTCTGTGCCTGGAGTGATTTTTCTGCTTACCCACTTGCTTGTCCATGACTCTCTTTCATTTGGGTTGTCCTGGAAAGATCAGTTCTTCCCAAACTCAGAGGAGCAAACAGCATTATAAGTGATAAGAAAATTTAGTGCGTGTTTTTTTGGCTTGGCTTCTGCTTGGGAGAGGGGAAATCCTCAGTGGCTTCCCCTCCCCTTGCTCCTGGGAAAACCCCTTCAAAAAAAAAAAAAAAGACAGGTGAATTTATTGTGAGATTATCCAAATAGGAATATCTTTCAGTGTGATGTAAAAGACTTCCACATTAACAAGAAAGTGTAGAAGACTCTGTCTAAAGAGGAGCGGGCAAACAAATGGCCTATCCTTGAACTGGTGTAGAGCTGTTTTAAGATCCTGAATAGCAGGCCTAGATTATCAGGGGTTAGCAGGAAGACACAGGAAAATCTCTTTGGCTTTTCTCTGTGGATGCTAGACTGCTTGAATGATGGACATGGTCTTTTGTGGATCGTGGCTGCCAAGGGGACACAGCAGGTGGCAATAATGCAGTGCACGTTCCTACCTCACAAGGTGAAAGGGGGTTGAGGAGCTTCCTGCTGTCCTGTCCCCAGCTCTCCAGTGTGAGAGGCCTGAAGTGGCAGAGCCTCTGCGTGCGAGAGCTGGCAGATGGTTTTGTTAGTCATTAATGCTGGTGATACATGCACAGACATGTATGCAAATATGCATTGGAAAGGGGAAAAAAAGTAGTTTGTCCAGGCTAGAGGCCTAGGAGTTGTCCTTTTTTATAAGATAGCATTGATTATCTAGCTGTATTTTACCTAGCTAGTGCTTCTTAAAAATCAGATTTAGTAAGGTTTCCTCCTCTTTTAAATTCTTTGGACTATTAGGGTGTTTACATGGGTAATTATCACCTGTCAGGGGAATAGAGATTTAAGAAATATTTATCTAAAGTATTAAATCTGTAGGTTTTCTTCCCACTCCTTTATAGCTTTGCATATATTTTAAAAAAAAAAAAAAATCAGGCTTAACAGTAACATTCTGCCAACTTCCTGTTGGAATGAAGTTTGACAAATTCTTTGGCTACAAGCACAGATCACCATCATCACCTAGTTAAGTGCGCTACTATAGAAAGCTGTGTAACGAGAAGAGCCAGTTATGACTTCAGTTGAAGAGTGAATACTGAACTATCAGCTTTACAAATGCCCAAAGAAGCGCAGTACAGCAAGGGAAGACTCAAGTGAGGGATGTGCGACGACTTCATTAGTGTCCTCTGAGGCACTGTGTCCTGAAAACTTGGCATTATGCAATGCAGTTTCACTTGGTGCCTTGAACCATTACTTAGATTTACAGTAAGATTCATTTTAAAGGAATTATCTTCTAACTTAACTGCTTAAGATCTCCACTCTTATGAACTTCTACTTATTATAGTCCTGTCAAACACTATGTACACTTAATGGAAAATAACAAGATGCTGAAAAAAGAAACATGCTAGTTTGATTTCTGAGTTAGTGCAGCAGATGAAAGATT